CCCTTCTCTTGCTATTTTTAAGAACTCTTCCATTTCATGAGTGTTAACCACAAGCCTGTCTTTTATATCTGAGATCCTGTCCTTGCATTGGCTTATCCTGCTTCAGATACTTTCAATGGAGTTTTTATTCTCCTGGATTCTCCTTGAATCTGCCTTATGGTTTCCATTTCTTTCCTATGCTAAGCATTCATCCATAATTTTCTTAAGCTCCTTTTTAAAAAAAATCTGAATCTGCTCTAGAGTCATTAAGCATGTCTTTTTGTTTTGGTTTGGTTTTTTGTTTTGTTGGGTTTTTTTGGTACAGGGAATCAAACTCAGGACCTTGCACTCGCGAGGCAGGCACTGTGCCACTAAGCATGGTTTTCATTGTGGACACCATCTCTGCAGTTATCTGAGAAATTATTTCTGATTTGATTTTTTTCTAGAGCCTCATTCAGTTGCTTTGTTGTTACTTCAGAGAAGTCAGGTTGGTGGCTTTCAGATCGTCCCACCTCATTGACCCCTGGATTTGCCTTTGGTGAACTGGATTTCTGGGGTTGCATCTTGTTTAAGTGCCTTCTCATTTTCTTTTAAGTTTAATTCTTACAGTGACGCTTATAAATTCCCTATGGTGGGTTGCCTTATTGCTAGTACTTAGAACCCTTACAAAATTACTACTTCTCCAAGGTATCTTCCTGGTGTACCTGGTTTTTGGATTTTCAAAATCCAAATTTGCAAGATCCTACCTCTTTAATTTGTTGGGGATGACAAGTTGCTGCCTGCTTGGCCCAGCCCCTGGCTCTTTGGCACTGTGCCACAGTATTTTCTATGACCCTTAGTCAATCTTACTCTTGGAATACCAGGAAGAATAATTGTTTAGAACAATTATGTCACTTTTGGCTAAAGTGGTACCATTAGCAATAACAACAGCATAAAACATAGCCTAGAAAATGACAAACTGAGGTAACCATTAATTTGACACCTTGAACCATATGAACTAGATTTGTGGTTTTATAATAAAATCTGAAACCAAAAAATTATATGCAGTACATAAGCCCTTAATATGTCAATTTTTCCTTCCTGGGTTAAAATTTAAAAGGGGTTAGAGAGAAAACAGGGAAGTAGAAAAGGAAGAGATTAGAAGGCTGGAGGAAAAAGGGGGATCACACTAACTTTGAGAGATGTGCAGAAGACTGAAGGGAAAAAGAGAAGGAAGAGAGAAAAAGAACAGAACAACAACCACAAAGAGGCTAGAAACCTCATTCACATTTATATAAAACAAGATCAAACAAGGAAGGAGAGGAAAAAAAATCAAAAGCACAACAAAAAAAAAAAGAGAGAGAAGGGCTGGGGATTTAGCTCAGTGGCATAGCACCTGCCTGGCAAGGGCAAGGTCATGAGTTCGATTCCTGGTACCAGAAAAAAACCCACCCACCCCACCCAAAAAAGAGAAAGGGCACTTCCAGGTTTGTCTCTGCTGTCACTGGTAAGTAATGTGTGGAGAGAGAGTCCAGATCCATGTTGATTTATCCCAGGAAGCCAGCACTATTTGGCAGGGTAGTAGATAATCTCAGTGATCCTGCATCTAATGGTAAGACCAGACTCACTCAGCTTGCAGGCATAAGCGCACCTTCTGCAGGCCTGAGCCCAGCTGAGAGCCTCTAGATAGAGGCTCTGAGTTCTGCAGCTGCTCTGAGTTCTGAGCTCAGCTGGCCCCTCTCCAAGATGGCTCCCAGCCAATCACTCTCTAGTGTGGGTTGACTTAGCCCTCAGAACTAACTGCCAGCCAGTGCAGTCCTTCACGTTCACTGTTCCCCTCCACTGCTGCATTTCTCTGTGGAGATCTCTGGGGTCACTAGCAGTCACCATGTGTGAACAGGTTTGAATTGGTCCTCTCGTGCAGTGAATCCCATCTCAGAAAGGAGGCGCCACCAGCTACCTCCTGCTTCTTTGTTGAAGTTTTTCTCTTCATTCTTTCCATGGGGTTCAATTCGCACTTCAAATCCTTCCTGGGTCCAGAGGACCCACTTCCCTCCTTCTCATCTCCTCAGGTTGCTAAATTTCAGCATCTGGATGGCAACTCTCAAAGAGGCTCTTTCTCTGCTGCTTATCACTCCACCACCTAGGTCCTCCAGTTTTTGAGCATTTCTAATTGTTGGGATGGTGCACCAGTAAAGTCCTCCTGAAAAATCTTTCCTGGTTTCTCAGTTTCTTGGAAATTCTGCAATATCACATTTCATTAAGGATTTCATCCACTCAATACATTTCATTTGCCACATTTATGCTCACTGCTCCTAGTCTCATCTCTATTGCAGATATACCTCTGGAGTTCCAGACCCAGTGTCTCCTTATTTACATTACATGGTTGTACCCATCCCAACCACCATAAACTCACCATGTTCAAAACAGAACTTCTCATTTTCACTCTTAGGTTTTCCCTTTTAAAACTTCCACTGTAGTTGTCTTTTTGTGTGTTTTTGTGACACAGGTTCTCACTATGTTTTTCAGGATGGCCTTGAATTCACTCTTTGCTCAGGCTACCTCAAATTCATGGTGATACTCCTGCTTCAGCCTCCTGAGTGCTTGCACTACAGGCATATGCCACCATGCCCAGCTAGTAGTCTTCTCTTAGAAACCCAAATATCATCCTAGACCCTTCTTCCTGCCTTGATCCTTACATTCAATCTCTTACCAAATCCTGTCTCTTCAGCCTTCTAATAGTCTCATCAGTAAAGTACTCAGGGCTCTCCAAGTCCATTTAACTGATTTCCCTAATAACCTTCTACTTCCCTCTGGTCTGCTAACTCTGAAGTCAAAGACATAAAACTAATTTTATTCTCATTGGAAACAATTCACTTGTCTCCCCAATCTCTTCAGGATCAAGTCACATTCTTTCACATTTGGCTTTAAGATGACCATGCCTGTCCCTCTGTTTTTATCTTTTAACCACATATAATGCTTCATCCAAACAGAATTGCTTTTTCTTTCTTTCTTCTTCCTTTTTTTGGTACCAGGAATTGAACTGAGGACTCTGTACTTGCAGGCGCTATGCCACTGAGCTATATTACCAGCCCCAGAATTACTTTTTCATCTTTGTTCTCCTAGCAAACTCTGTTACTTGAGAAGTTACCTTTGGAGCTGTTTTTAAAAAGTCTTTATTTTTGCTCAAGCCCAAGTGAGGTGTTCCTCTCTTGAGTATTGCCACAGCCTTGATACTTTCTCTGTCATAGCATCTGATACTCTCTATTATTTGTTTTCTTGCTTGCAATTCTACTAGGCTAGGCAGGGAAGTCAGAAATGAGAAGAGTGAGTTGAACCCATATGTTGGATAAGAATGGGTTGTACCTAGGTGAGGTGGTAGATGCCACTGTCCCAGCAATTGGGAGCCTGAGGCAGGAGAATCGCTATGAGTTCAAGGCCAGCCTGGGGTACAAAGTGAGTTCAAGGCCAGCCTGAACTGCCCAGTGAAACCCTGTCTCAAGAAAAAACCCTTGTTATGGTTTGGTTATGGATGTCCTCCCAAAGCCTCATGAAGTCATGGAACAGGCTTCTAGAGTTCATGATTGATTCATGAGTGAGTGCTACACCCGCCCTGGGGCAGATAGTTTGCACCTGTAAGGGAGAGAAAGAGGCTGCTTGCTGCCACTCCTCCCTTTTGCTCTTATTGCTTTTGCTATCTTCCGCTGCCATGAACTGCTGCCCTCTGCCATGTGCCACCCTGCCATGAAGCCAGCTGAGTATGGACTAAAACCTCCATAGACTGAGCTAAATAAACCTTTCCTTCCTTAACTCTTGGTGTCAGGTATGTCTTAGCAATGAGAGAAAAGTAACCAAGACACCCCTATGGGTTGTAGAGAATCAAAAGGAGCTGGTTTGGAAAATGAGCAGAATCACTATGCAGCATGCAGGGCGCAAATAAAGTTGGAAAAGAAAGTACCACTTAACAGAGACATACTGTTGAGATTCTCTTAGCATCTTGGGTAAACGTGCTTGAATACTCATGGATGATCTAACCCAAGATTAGAATTTTCATAGCACTGCCATGAAATAATGGAAGAGAAAGGCAAGAACATATGTAAGCATGTGGCTGAAAGGTTAAAATGTGGAATCCAAATTGCATGGGTAAGAAGTTCAACAGTGGCAACTGCCTAAGAGTACAGAAGGATGAGTTCAGGACTTAGTGAAATGCAAGAACAAATCTGATGGAAAAAAAGAGAAAGGTAGGAGCTTATGGTCACATAGGGTTTTTGGACTTAAGATGTTGAGGTGATACCAGGCATGGTGGCATTCATCTATAATCCAGCACTCAGGGGTTAAGGCAAAGGGATTTCTAGTTCAGGGCCAGCCACGCTACAGTGAGGTCCTGTTTCCAAAAACAAACAGAACAAAAACTCCAAGAACAGATTATGCCACAGGTAGTAATTAATTCCCACTTGACAGCCTGACCCTGATGGCAGGAAAGTTTTAAAGTTCTTTTGGAAGTTAGCTCTATATTTCTTCTTTTTTGTTTTTTGAGACAGGATCTTACCATGTGGTTCAGGTTGGCCTTGAACTCAATAAGTAGTCCACATTTCTAATGAAATAAGATGAGCAGTTGTATAGTAAGGAGGCCATCTTGTTCTGCCAATCTTTTGCTCTCAAAATTTGCCCTTCCCTGGCATGATGGTGCACACCTATAATCCCAGCACTCGGGAGGCTGAGGCAGGAGGATTGTTGCGAGTTGGAGACCAGCCTAGGCTACAGAGTGAGCTCAAGGCCAGCCTGAACTGCATAGTGAGACTCTGTCTCAAAAAGACAAAAAACAAAACAAAACAAAAAAAACTTGCCCTTATATCCAACATATACCAGTAACAATTCTATTCTCTCATTATGTATAGGGTTAAACCAGTTCTTCAAGGAAGATGTATTTTAAAGCTGCCTCGTATATAAAAATTATTAGATCCTAAAAATACCAAAATAAATTATAGACTCCTTCTGAAGAGTTAGCAATTAGCAAAGGCTAAAGACAAATAAAAAGTAAAATTACAAAAAAAAGTAAAATTACAGTACAGTGACATTAAGTACTACAGACAAAACTGGAAGGACATGTAATGGAAGGCTATAGAGAAGTTTTCATTTGGAGTGTTCAAAAGAAGTTACCCAGGCAGTTACATTGGCAATGGTAGATCTGGCAGTCTAAGGAGGAAGAATAATACCAGGCTTGCAGGCTTTAGAGAACATCCAGATTTCAATTTGAATGCAGCATAGGATTCCAAAGAGGACTGGATGTGTAAGGGCACACCTGTAATCCCAGCACTTGGAAGGCTGAGGGAGGAGGATTGCTGCAAGTTCAGGGCCAGCCTGGGCTACACAGTGAGTTCAAGACCAGCCTGAATTACAAACTGAGACCCTGTCTCACAACAAACAAACAAAAAACCACGTGTACAGTGACCAAGTGTCTACCAAGATGGCTGTCACGGTAATCAAGGTGACAGGCTGAGCCCTTTGCCAAAGAAATGTAGGGCAAACATTGGAAGACAGGAAATAATGGTGGAAGCTTGGTGATGCCAGTATTTGAAAATAAGGCATTAAGAAGTTGTGGTTTTGAAGCAGAAATCCTGACCTAACTGCAGCCATTTTGTTAAATAAAGCTGCAGTCACTCTGTTCTCTGCCACTGAACTTGGCTGAATTATATGATTTGTCATCCAATTGAAACTTCTGTGAATGTACTAAAATAAGTTTGCTACCCACAACTATGCCCACTGCACAAGATACCCATTGTATCATAACCTTCAGTAAAAGCTTATCTCATTCTTGTAACTTCTGTTTATCACCCTATAAATAAGACAAGCTCTCTGTAATCACCATCTCAAACTTTGGAGATTACTCCTCTGGGGTCTGCTAGTGTCAATAAAATTTCCTTTCTTTTCTTGAGCTCCTGGTTACTGCTGATTCAATTTTTCCCACAACAGTTTCTGGCTTTAGAAACTAGGAAGTTGTCAGTTAAATATTGTGGGAAATCCAATCTTATTTTTCTTTTTTAACTATAAACGTTATTGCTTGAGTCGGACATGGTAGTGCACGCCTGTAAGCCCAGCATTTGGGAGGCTGAGGCAGGATTGCCATAAGGTCAAGGCCAGCCTGGGCTAGTGAGTTCAGGGGCAACCTGACCTATACAGCGAGACCCTGTCTCAACAAAAAAAACAAAATCCAAACAAAATATTGATTGTTGAGCCTAGAGAGAGAAAAAAATCATTGTGTAAAAAAGTCAACCCTTACTTTCTGGAATGGCTGAGTAAGAAAGAGCCATAATCACAGAAGTAGGTAAATGAAGTATTTTTCTTTCTTTTTTCTTTTTGAGACAGGGTCTCATTATGCAGTTCAGGCTGGTCTTAAACTTACTTTGAAGCCCAGGCTGCCCTTGAACTTGCAACAGTACTCCTGCCTCAGCCTCCTGAGTGCTGTGATTACAGGTGTGTGCCACACCTGGCTCTAAAGTATTTTTCAAGCCAGAAGTCACTTGTGATTTTCCACAAATCTTATTTCCTCTGGGAGAGAACTTTAACTCAGCTTCTTTACCTGTTGGTTCCAGGTGGCCAACTGGAAGTCATTGTTGGGAGGTCTGATTTCCAGAGACATCTTTCCTGAGGGAGGATCCAGTTTAAAATAACTAAGATACTTCTTGCCATTTCTAACTACTTTGGAAATAAAATTTTGATGACTTAAAAAAAAATAACTAAGATAGCTATCATGACTTCCGGTGGTAGCCCAAGCTATGTTTCCCAGGCGCAGCGCACATTTTTGTTTTTGCTTTTATCTTTTTCTCTTATTTTGCCCAGGTTCACTCGCAGAGGTGGTTTCTCCCATAGCCCTTCACCGCTCACTTTTCAAATAAACTTTTCACACCTTTAAAAAAATAAAATAACTAAAATAGACAAGAGTAAACTTTTTCAAAATAATCTGCAATACAAAATTAACGAACACTATGTACATCTGCAGAGATACGTAAGAACAAGTGCACAAAAAAGAGAAAAAGGGGCCTGGGGATTTAGCTCAGCGGCAAAAGCGCCTGCCTGGCAAGCGCAAGGTCGTGAGTTCAGTTCCCAGTACCGGAGAAAAACCAAAAAAAAAAAAAAAAAAAAAAAAGAGAGAGAGAAAGAGATGGTAAGATTCTTCACCTCCAATTAACAGTAGCAGTCAGGCCAACCAACTTGCAAAGTGAAAAAGTCTGACACTCTCTCTTCTAGCCTCTGTACCTAATCCCTCACTACCCTGCTCTCAACGTTCCCTGAAAAGCCACGGAAGCCTCAGGTGGAGCTTCGGGAAGAGTCCCTTCCCACCGCCACCACGTACTAGGGATTGAGGCCATGGCCTCGCGCTAATTAGGCAAATGTCCTAGCACTAAGCCATATCCCTAGCCGTTTTCATTTCGTAACAAGGTCTCACCAAGCTGCCCGGCGTGGCATCAAACCTGCTATTCTGCCTCAGTCTCCCGCGAAGCTGGGGTTATAGGCGTGGTCTCGCACTCCCAGTAAGTAAAGGCATTTTTATTTATGTACTCGTTCTTTCCATGCGAGTCTATTCGTGACAGGTGGGAGGATTAAGGCGAAACTGAGGCCATAAAACCTTTTACAGGAGCGTAAAGCCGCACCCCTTCAGGGCACGTCCACCTTTTAGGGTTCGCCTCAGCAGCCGGGAGCAAGTCCTATTGGTCTCACGACACACGCTGCGGGGCGTCCACCGGGCGCGCGGCCGCCGCCGCCAGGGCTCTGTCTCCCCGGTCGCGGCCGGGCAAGCGCGGCAGGCACCTCTCTCAGGCCTCTGTCCGCTCGAGTGTGAGGCGGGCGGTGCCGGCCAGTGGTCGCCGGCCATTCCTTCCCGCAGACATGCGTGCGGCCGGGAGGCGACTCTTACCCCGCAAGGGTGTCTGCAGCCTCACAGTCAGGCCTGAGGAGGGCCCCTTTGTGAGACGCTGGCCCCGAAACCTCTCGGCGGCCCAAACAACGAGGGCCCCTCAAAATACCAGCAAAGAGTGCTTCCGCCGGGCTGAGGCCCCCGCCGATGAGGGCGGAAGTGGTAAGACAGACGTGTCCTGGGCTGCTTTCCCAGTCGCCAGAAGGACCCGCAGTGAGGGTCGGGCGAGCCGAGCCTCTTCGGGCTCTTGGAGCTTGGCTCGGCCTCTGGCTATAGAAAGCTCACTGGAAAGTACTGGCCTGAGCCCAGGGCGGTACCCAGAATGGCGTGGCCGTAGCCGCCACAGTCAGGCGCAGCTGCGGACAGCCCTGCGCAGGTCGGCCGTCAGGACCTATCCAATTCCGCTGCACCGCGCCGCTCTGGGGGAGACCCCGGCAGGAGCCCAAGGCCAGCTACGGGGCCGCAGAGGCTACTGGCGCCGCCTTGGCCAGCTCTTCCCTCGGGGTGAGGACCCCAGAGCTGCGGCGCAAAGAGACCCCAGCAGCTAGGCGGCCGGACGGAGTTGCCATGGAAACCAGCTAGCGCGCGCTCCGTGGAGGCCTGGGGTGGGCGGGCTGCGGGAAGAGCGAGCGCAGGTTCGGGAGAGTAGAGAGCAGAGGCCGAGCCGGGCTTTTGTGGGTAGAAAGACGTGGCAGGTGTGGGGGATCGGGAGGCTAGTGGAAGTGGAGCCAGTGGGCGTCCACTCGAGGGTTCTGACCCGGGAGTCTTGAGTTGATCCACAGTTTCTGTAACTGTAGGATTCCCCTAAACAGGTTCTTCTGCCTCAAGGATGACAGTCCTAAGGCACCCTCGAAGTTGGAGCTGCCAGTGGTTGCCAGTCCTGATACTGCTGCTGGGCACAGACCGTGGGCCAGGGGTGCAAGGTGTGACACATTACAAGACCGGCGACCCTGTCATTTTATACGTCAACAAAGTGGGACCCTATCATAATCCTCAGGAAACTTACCACTACTATCAGCTTCCAGTGTGTTGCCCTGAGAAGATTCGTCACAAAAGCCTTACCCTGGGTGAAGTGTTGGATGGGGACCGAATGGCTGAGTCCTTGTACGTGATCCGCTTTCGGGAGAATGTGGAGAAGAGAGTTCTGTGCCACATGCAGCTCAGTTCTGCACAGGTCAGCCTCTCTATGTTGGTTATCACTTAGCCCTTCTTCCCAGGGACTAACAATGCCTTGCATTTATGCTTCAAGGTACCTTTATGAAAAATCATCAGACTTGATTCCAAATACAACCCCATGTGGCAGACAAAGCAGATGATATTATCCTCATTCAATTGACTAAGAAACATACTTGCTCAGAAGTGACTTTTTAAAAATTACATAATGAATTGTTCAAGCTGATTGTCATTAGAGCTCAAGGTTCCTTGCTGCAAGCTTCTCTATTGGCAGAAAGGTCCCATCACTCCTGCATAGTTCTCTTTCCTTCTGTAGCTGTCTCTTAGCAACTGTCTCAGTTGTCTCTACCTAACCTGCCCTGTCTTCATTTTTTTTTTTAAACAAATCCTGGCATTTAGTCCATTCCACTCTTTGTTACACCTGCCCTTCTCCTTTCTCTACTGTCAAAGTCATACTTGCTTTTTTATGGGGTCTACGGTCTTTTATGGGTGTTAGGGTCTAACCCAGTGCTAAATGGGACAGTTTTGTACCCCAAAGGACATTTTCCAATATCTGGAGACATTTTTGATCGTCACACCTCAGGGATACTACCGGCATGTCGTGGGTAGAGGCCATGGATGCTACATCCTACAATGCACAGGATGGTCAGTGCCCCTGTACAACAAAGAATTAGCCAGCCCAAAATATCACTAGTGCTGAGGTTGAGATACCCTACTCTAACCCCAGGCCTGAGGAAGCATTGTATGACTGACTTCTGACTTGCTCTTATAGGTCGAGCAGCTGCGCCAGGCAATTGAGGAACTGTATTACTTTGAATTTGTGGTAGATGACTTGCCAATCCGTGGTTTTGTGGGCTACATGGAGGAGAGTGGCTTCCTGCCACACAGCCACAAGATAGGACTCTGGACACATCTGGACTTCCACTTAGAATTCCATGGAGATCGAATTATATTTGCCAATGTTTCGGTACGGGATGTCAAGCCCCACAGCTTGGATGGGTTACGATCTGATGAGTTCCTAGGCCTTACCCACACTTACAGTGTGCGTTGGTCTGAGACTTCAGTAGAACATCGGAGTGACAGGCGCCGTGGTGATGATGGTGGTTTCTTTCCCAGAACATTGGAAATCCACTGGTTGTCCATTATCAACTCCATGGTGCTTGTGTTTTTACTGGTGGGTTTTGTGGCTGTCATTCTAATGCGTGTGCTTCGGAATGACTTGGCTCGGTACAACCTGGATGAGGAGACTACCTCTGGAGGCTCTGGTGATGACTTTGACCAGGGTGACAATGGCTGGAAAATTATCCACACGGATGTCTTCCGCTTCCCTCCATACCGTGGTCTGCTCTGTGCCGTGCTTGGCGTGGGTGCCCAGTTCCTGGCCCTTGGCACTGGTGAGGTGATAATTAATTGGGCATTTTTTTCAAGGGGTAGCTAGCTTGTTAGGTCGGTGCTGCCAGGTTTGGTGGTACATGCCCTCAGGCTCTGAGGAGAGGATCACATGTGTGAGCCCAACCTGGGCAATTTAGTGGCTTAGACCCTGTCTCAAAAAAAAATTTTTTTTTTTGTTGTTGTTGTTTTTCTGGTACCGGGAATCGAAATCACTACCTTGCGCTTGCCAGGCAGGTGCTGTGCCTCTGAGCTAAATCCCCAGCCCCTCAAAAATTTTTTAAAAAATATTTTTCAAGGGCTGGGAAAGCTGGGTGCAGTAGCACACGCCTGTAATTGCAGCACTTGGGAGGCTAACGTAGAAGTATTACTGTGAATTTGAGGCCAGCCTGGCTACAAAGTAAGTTCAAGGCCAGCCTGAACAAATTTCATTACCCTGTCTCAAAAAAACTAAACTAAAATAAATAATAAAGGACTGAGGATATAGCACAGGCTAAGGCCCTGGGTTCCATTCCCAGTACTGTAAAAGTAAAAAGAAAAAAAAAAAAAAGGAAGATGGAAAGGTAAAGTCTATGGATCTCCTATCCAAGGTAAAGGGTAGACTGAGGGGTTGGAGTGGCTTTAGTGACGATGTGTGTATTCTCTTGTGGCTTTTCTGGACCACAGATTTGGGCTAGATTGTTTTGCTGGAGGCCCTGGGTATGGGAGAAGGGGATGCTGATTCTTCTGAAATTGCAAGGAGAGGGACAGGTGAGATCTAACAGGTTTTCTACTACCACCTTGTAGGGATCATTGTCATGGCACTGCTGGGCATGTTCAATGTGCACCGCCATGGAGCCATTAATTCAGCAGCCATCTTGTCGTATGCCCTGACTTGCTGCATCTCTGGCTACGTGTCCAGCCACTTCTACCGGCAGATTGGAGGCGAGCGTTGGGTGTGGAACATCATTCTCACTACCAGTCTGTTCTCTGGTGAGGAGTCCCCTTCCCTGTGAGTCTGCTTAGACTTAAGAACTCAGAACACCTGCCAGGCATGGTGGCACACTCCTGTGATCCCAGCACTCAGGAGGCTGAGGCAGCAGGATCACAGAAAGTTTAGGGCCAGCATGGGCTACACAGTGAGTTCAAGGCCAGCCTCGACTACAGTGAGACCCTGTCTCAAAAAAAAAAAATATCATGGAAGCTAGAACAAAATCAGAGTGAGGCTTTAAGGAAAGGAATATAGGCCAAAAAAGAGAAGGAAGAGGAAAGATGGAAAAGAAAAAAAGATTTCTTTTGAATAAAAGTTTTTAAGTCCTTAAAACATTTTAGGCAGTGTGGTAAGCACCTGGCATAGCTTCATCTCTTTAAATTCTCAAAATAACTGTGTGAAGTAGATCATAACATCCCCATTGGACAGATGAGGAAACTAAACTTCAGCCTCACTAAATAACTTGCCCAAGATTGTTGGGTTTTTTTTTTTTTTTTTTTTTGGTATCAGGAATCAGGACCTTGCAATTGCCTGGCAGGCGCTTGTGCCACTGAGCTATATCCCTGCCCCTTGCCCAAGATTATACTTAAAGTAGTGAACCATATTTTGGACCCAAGCAGTCTGAATGTTAGGCCTCAACCATTATACTTAAATAACACTCTTGAATTTATGTTTGTATTCCCTCTTTTATTTTGAAGATAGGCATGCTTGTAACCCCAGCACTCCAGAGACAGGAGGGTTCCCATGTGAGTTAGAGGCCAGCCTGAGTTACATAGTGAGTTAAAGGCTGGCATGAACTGCATAGCAAAAACTCTCAAAAACAAACAAACAAACAAAAAACAAGGGCTGGGGCTGTGGCTCAGTGGTAGAGTTCTTGCCTTGCATGCCTAAGGTCCTGAGTTTGATCGCCAGCACCACAAAAACAAAAACAAGAACACACACATACATGGTTAAAAAAAGGCAATAGTAATCTGCATTATGAATCCTACTTGTTCTTAATTTTAAGTGTTTATG